CATACCCTGTTAATAATTTTTCTGATTTGCTGTTTCACGTTTCCCGGCGCATATATTATCATTTCATTTGTTATTTGGTCTGGTCCAGGAGCTTTCTTTTTTTTAATCTTTGCTATTTCTGCTTCCATTTCTTCTTCCCCTACTTCTTCATCCTCCTTTCACTTCTTCTTTTTGTTTTTTCCCCTCTGAAGCTTATCTGTCCGTTTAAACTTTGTATAAAGTAGATTTTCGCTTCTTATTCTCCAATGTCGTCCAGTATTCCTTCTTTATTTTTCCTCCCTTTGTTTCCACACTTCATTTTTGTTTTTGATGTCTTGTATTTCTCTTATTTCTCTTTTTGTAATTCTTTTTTGCGTTTGCACGTATCCTTATATTCTTTCTTCTTTCTTCTGTACTCTTCGTCTGTGTCTTTTCCTGTTTTCCAATCCATTAGGGCTTTTTTTGTAATTTTTTTCTCTTTACATTCTGTGCCCCGCCACTTGCTTCGTCCTGGTGTCCAGTTGTTTAAAGAATCTTATGAAAAAGTGGAATTGTAATAGCCACATTGATATGAAGAATCTGTTAAAGCTAACGAAGACGACGAACTTCGAGAGTAGAAACTGAATTTAAACGATAGGAAGAATCCCAAGAAGTGAAATAATCGAATCTGATGGAAGGATTCCAAGCATTTAAAGGGCGCAATGCGAAGAAAACTCGAATAATTTGAGTTTTCTAAAGAAGAATTCTACTTAAAAAAATAAAGCAGATATTTGCATTCAAATACATGGAAGAATGGAAAACTCCGATGGGAAGAAATTAAACAGTATTAAAAACCTTAGAAATCTGAAGAACGTTGTGAATTTCAAAAACTGGAAGGATTTCAAGAAACGGTATAATTGGAAGAAGCGGGAGTATCATGCGAAGAATTCAAAAATTCGAACGATTTTGAAGGAGATCTGATGGATCAGACAAATTTGCAAGGTCTAAGGATTTGAAGAAGATGGAAAATTAAAAAATAGAAGAATTGAAATTTTCTCTACGAGAAGCATTTTAACTATAGATAAAATTAAAAAAAAATAATGTATGGGAAATTGGATGAAGAAAATTAGAAGTTGGGTAAGGGCGTAAAAGTTAAAGCAACCGCCAAATCGGGAGAATTCGAAAAAGTAAGAAAATTTGAGAATTCGGATCACAGGAATCTAAAGAATTTGAAGAGATATGGAAGCATTTAAAGAACTGGTATAATTCGAAGATACGGAAGTATTCGAAGGATACAAAAATGTGAAGAATTCGAATAATCACGAAATACTACAAGGATCTAAGTGAAGAATATGAAAATTCAAATGATTTCGAAAAAAATCACAAATCAGGAGGATCATAAGAATCTAGAAGATCTGATGGATCACAGTAATGTGAAGATTCCAAAAATTTAACGAAATTAAAAGATCGAAAGAATTTGCAAAAGATCAAAAGGACCTAAGGGAAAAATTTGAAAATTCAAATGATTTCGAAAAATCAATAATCATGAATCATAAGAATCCAGAGATGAATTACACATCTAGAATCTAAAAATTTGACGGAACTAAGAAGAATCGAAAGAATTGAAATAATCACGAAGGATCACAAGGATCTCAGTGAAAAATTTGAAAATTCCAATGATCGAAAACAATCAATTTACATGAGGATCATAAGAATGTAGAAGATCTTATGGATCACAGTAATTTGCAGGATCCAAAAATTTGACAAAACTAAAATCGAAAGAATTTGAAAGGATCACAAGGATCTCGGGGAAGAATTTGAAAATTTAAATGATTTCGAAAAAATCAATAATCATTAGAAAACACCCCCCCCCCCTTCCTCTTCATTCATGCGCCTAAAAATTAACAGTTAACTGGGAGGTACAATTAGAACGGATATGTACAGGGTGCTCCAAATTGCTTGTTTTCGATGTTTTACGGTGATATTTTGAGAACTAAAAGACAACGAGTGTACTGGCTTGCATTTCTCGTAATAACTTACGATGTTAATTCTGACGTACGAGTTGCGCGAACGTGGCAACAGCGCAAAAGTTCAAAAATGCAATAGAGTTTTTGCTTTACAACTTAGTTATAAAAATGTATAAATGTAAAGATAAACGGTATGTAAAAATAGTCTCTTAGTAAGGACGTATTTCTATATTTTCCCCCTGTATACATAGCGACGTCTACTACTACATCAACATCTAGAAAGATTTCTTTTTATATGGATAACATTGCGACATTATTAATTAATCTCCTTTTGCGATTGTAGAACGCAGATAAGTTTTTATTAACTTAAGTTTCGAGAAGCGCCCCCAGAGGTGTCGACGCCCCAGAGTAATCTGAAGAATAAAAATAACATTTTATTAAGAATCAATAAACTTTAGAGTTTACGGCAGCGGTTACAACGACTGTCAACTCAGGGGCCACCACTAGATGCTGCAGCCTTGTCCCTGATTAAGGTCGAGATAGAAATGGTTTAGCCGATCGTGCTCGGAAACCTCAAACGGAGTAAACAGCAGCTCCAGGAATTCGAAAAGGCATGGGTAAATCGTCGAACTCGGTAGCGGTATCTACAGGAAAGCAAATGCAGGAAAGCGAAATAATATCGTCCCTTATAATTAATGGAACAAATGTAATAAAAAGCATACATTGAAATTAAACGGGACGGTAAAAATTACTGTGCAAGAAAAAGAAAAAGCGGCAACTTAATGCAAAAGCAAAAATTAAACGGTATGAATGCAAACTAAATTTACGGAATAGTCCAATATTACCGTAACTTACGAGGATGCAAAAAAAGCAAAAGATCCTACTGCAAAGGGAAAAGATTCCTTTAAAACAACGGCTTTACCTTTTGCAAAATTCGGCTATTCGGTATTCGTATAAGAACGTACAAAAATTAAAGCTTCTTTATTTAATTTCATCATTATAAAGATCGGGGCAAACATCTGGAAAAATTAGAGCGCATCCAGGGACATTTCACACGACTGATTCTGATAACGTTGACTGCAACACATTTATTTAGCTACTGTTAATTGCACTTACTTAATTGACCGGATTTTTATTTTGTTTTGGCTTTTATTTTTGAGTAGGCGGGGTTTCAGCCAAGGCTGCTCTACCAGCCCAACGGACTACACATTTACAAATATCCATGCCCGAACCCGGATTCGAACCAGGGACCCTTTGTACCACAGCCCAGCTTCAACTGCACTGCGCCACACGGGAAATTTCTAAAGTCGGTAGTCCAGCAAGCCTCATTGTGAATTGCAGTCCTCGGGTTGGCATAATGGTCGCTTATCAAAACTGATATCGGCGTCGCAGTTTTATGCTCGTTTTAATTCACCATATGAAACAAAAACATGCAAATAATGGCTTAACGGAACTTAAATTCTCAAATAATAATTTGCCCTCGTCTTCTAAACAACAGGAGCTTTCGGACGTAACAAAAATAATTGATATATCTTGACGGGAACGGTTGCAAACGGCGGATTAATTACAGCTTTCTTTTACGGTATCGGCGACTGGAACACAAAAAATTAAAGCATTTACCTTTACCTTCTATTTTCAACTCCTAGAACCAACATAAATACTTTGCACAACGAAGCGCCCAATTTAAATCGCTTCCAGATACCGGGTGTTCATCTATAGGGTGATCACTAAAACTGGTAACTTCAAGGCGGAAAACGAGTGTTTTGTTCCACAAATACGTGCCAAAAGTGGTATCCACAAGCAATTAGTGTTTTTAAAGTCTTTAACGGCTCTTTAGGAGCTTTTGAGTGAATTAAAGGTACTCTAAGGGTACATACTGGATTCCTGAATCGTTTTTAAAACCTTTTACGAGCTTTAAGGCTGTATTAAGACACTTTTAAAGCTTTATTAAAGGGTATTCCAAGGGTCGATGAAGCACTTCTACAGGCTTTATTGGTCTCTTTAAAATCCTTACCGTCGCCGAGGGTTTTCTAGAGCTTTTGATTAACTTGTTGAATCTTCAACAGCTTGGTAAGAGTGGACTTACGTTTAGGACCATTTTAGATGTGTTGACAGTCTCCAAGAGTTTATAGTGAACCTCAAACATTCGCCAGGAGGAAGCTTTTACAGTACTTGAAATCTTCTCCCGTCAAAAGCCTACCTTTTGTGAATGTTTTAAGAGTTACTAAGAACTTTAAGAGCTTTCAAAAACATTCGAAGATCTTTCAGGGTTATTTGATAGCATTTAAGAGGTACCAAAAATTTCAGAACAGGTGCGCTGAATCGTTTTCGGTATTTCCGTTCCCAAATATTGGGACTTCTAAAAAAAACACATTTTTGCTTCACATCGAAGGAAATGAACATTATTTTTCCAAGATTAGACGATCTTCCTGCTTAACGTGGGAAACAAAACACCCTCTTTGCATACAAAGCGTGACCGTGGCAATAAAAACATCATCAAATGTGTTCTGGCTATGTCTAAATCTAAACTGTTCTGATAAAGATCTGGCGGAGGATGATGAACTAACACTTCCACCTTCAGGTCTTTGCCTTTACCCTAACCAAGAGCTCAAACGCCCCATCTGTTCTTCCGGCGTTTGCCTAAATCTTGCATGGGATATTGTAGAAAACCCTTACAATGTTGAACTACGTGCTAAACGTTTAAATCAAACTGTGAGAAAACGTTCGAGCGTGACTGCTTACATGACACTTCTTCGTTAAGTTACATAAAGCCGTGGAACAATTCGTTCTTAGAATCTTCACGTTGCAAAAGTGTTAAGCAACCATCTACCTTACGTCAGCACCGTCATCGGCATAATCATGATCGCTCTCAACAATACGCTTCATTATGTAGGTAAAGGTCAAATAAATATTAACCATATTAACGCAAGGTCGCTTTGAATATTTCCTCTTTTTTCTAATTCCTGGGACGAAGAAAGGAATTCCAGTCCTGCTATATGAAGTTAATTTGTATGCACGACAAACTTCGCCGCATTAATTTGTATTGCAAAAGCTTATCGAGAATTTTTCTTGCAGATAATGCTACAGTAAAACCACCAAAGATGGAGTGGGCCACCGGGGATTTGATATGGTTCGATCCGGGAGTGGGACATTGGCTTCCGGGGGAGATTTTGGAATGCCATCGCAGCGCCAATGTCATAACCGTACAGGCCGTCATCAACGGAAAGGTAAGTGAGTGGTTGTCATGGATTATTACAGCTGACCGATGGGTTTTCAGCCCCAAACCTTCGCGCTCACGGGCGGCGAGGGGTTCGTGCGTCGGAGGGAGGACTTAGGTATTCAAGGTGTGGAAGATATGACTCAGCTGACTGACTTACACGAGGCGGCGTTAGTTTGGAATTTAAAGTTGCGTTACGACCGGAACTTGATTTACACGTACGCGGGAAGTATCCTAGTTGCGGTAAATCCATACAGAATGTTCGACTCCAGTTATGGCATGGAAGCGGCGCAAAGGTACAAGGGAAGGATGATCGGCGAACTTCCTCCCCACTTGTTTGCGATCGGCGCCGCAGCGTATTCGGCGCTTCCGGCCTCGCAAGTCGTCGTAATTAGCGGCGAAAGTGGATCGGGCAAGACCGAATCGACGAAGCTTGTTATGCAGTACCTGGCGGCGGTCGCGCCATCGGCGCCGAGAGGGCAGGCGTTGGTCACCGAGCAGATTTTGGAGGCGGCGCCCCTACTGGAAGCTTTCGGCAACGCACGAACCGCTCGCAACGACAACAGTTCGCGCTTCGGAAAATACCTGGAGGTGTATTTTAAGCATGGGGCGATTGTCGGCGCCCGAGTTACTCAGTACTTGCTCGAGAAATCCCGAATTGTAACGCAGGCCACCGGCGAACGCAATTATCACGTATTTTACGAACTTTTGGACGGACTGAGCACCGCCGACAAGCAGAAGTACGGTCTCGTAAAGCCCGACAAGTACTTCTATCTGAACCAGGGAGGGGGCGACTGCTCCCCGGGGCACTCCGGCTCGGGCGCCGACTGGAGCGCGCTCGTACGCGCGATGCAAGTCTTAGGGGTGGGCGAAGCCGAACTTATCGGCATTGTTAAAGTGCTGGCCTCGGTTTTGCACTTGGGAAACGTCTACTTCCACCGAAGGCAGCTGAGGCACGGGCAGGAAGGGGTCGAAATCGGATCCGACGTCGAGATCAAGTGGGCCGCGCATCTTCTCCAGATTTCTTCGAACGGCATGCAGCGGGCGCTGACGTCGCGTATCACCGAAGCCCGAACTGAAAGGGTGCATTCTCCCCTAACGATCGACCAGGCGTTGGACGCACGCGATGCCTTCGCGAAAGCGCTTTATTCAGCTCTTTTTAATTGGTAGGTATTGAAAGTGTCGAGCTTTCCAAAACGAGTGCGCTTCTGGTTAATCAAACCAAGACTAATCATTTGAAAGGTGTTGTAATTAATTTCTGCCACATAACAAGACTAGTTACTTTGCATAACTATGCAAATTTTATGCATCGCTTACTTTCAGTTGCACATATAATGCACGATCTTTGCCATGATTGATCTGTATGTATGAAATTACGCAAAAGCTTTCTCAGCCATCGAATTTTCTTTTTTTTTAGTACGATCCAAACATGTCATGCAACATTCTGTAACGTAAAGTTAATTACGTGCTATATATTTACAATAAATTTATAACAGTCTTAAAATGGATTGATTTGTAACAGTTAAAAATATTATTTATCACTCGCTAATTCACAATTTATAACAGCGCGAACGATTTATGACTTCGGCGTTGAAAGTGGAACTGTCGTGTCGCAATCCGATTTACTTATACCATTGAATAATTCAGATTCTTTATTCAATGCTTATATAGTAAAGTAGAATGTTCTCGAGCGGTCGCGAACATTCTAGAACAAAATACGTCATATTTCCCGGAAAATTTACGTCACATTCGCCTTCGTTCTTTACCGCCGATGACTAATCTTTCATGGCGCCTCGGCGTCTATCGGGATTTCTGAAATATTCGCTACACTGCCCCCTCTTAATACTAGTGCGTCTTGCAACACGGACGACGGTTGTAGCGGACGCACGGTCCCAGGTAAAACTCTTGTTCTATAACGTGAACTTGATGGCGGTACTTGCACGACGTGCAGAAAAATCAATCAACCGTCTTACGAACCGGTTGCGGGGTTCCTCTACTTCCTCCTTCACTTACAACATACTTAGGGTGCGGGAGTGGTAACTTTCGTAGTACAGTGAACATTTTTATTTCTATGACAGATTATGTTTAAATAATGTATAAACAACCCTTAAACTACCCTTGAATAATAAATTTCCGTATGCTTTAGACTTGCTCAATTTTTCAAGTTATTAAAACTATCACTTATAACATACTTAGGTTGCGGGGGTTGTAAATTTCGTAATGCAGTGAACATTTCTATTTCGTTGATAGATTATGTTTAAATAATGTATAAACAACCCTTAACCCGCCCTTGAATAATAAATTTCGGTATGCTTTAGGCTTGCTCAATTTTTCAAGTTATTAAAACTATCACTTGCAGCATACTTATAGTGCGGGGGTTGTAACTTTCGTAGTACAGTGAACATTTTTATTTCGTTGATAGATTATGTTTAAATAATGTATAAACAACCCGTAAACTGCCCTTGAATAATAAATTTCCGTATGCTTTAGGCTTTCTCAATTTTTCAAGTTATTAAAACCATCCCTTACAACATACTTAGGGTGCGGGAGTTATAACTTTCGTAGTACAGTGAACATTTTTATTTTTATGGTCGATTATGTTTAAATAATGTATAAACAACCCTTAAACTGCCTTTGAATAATAAATTTCCGTATGCTTTAGGCTTTCTCAATTATTAAAGTTATTAAAACTATCACTTGCAGCATACTTATAATGCGGGGGTTGTAAATTTCGTAATACAGTGAACATTTTTATTTCGTTGATAGATTATGTTTAAATAATGTATAAACAACCCTTAAACCGCCCTTGAATAATAAATTTCCGTATGCTTTAGGCTTGCTCAATTTTTCAAGTTATTAAAATTATATCACTTACAGCACACTTGGGGTGCGGAGTTATGAATACGGGGACAGGGTGAGTTGCCACTGTTCTGTTAAGAAAATCGCATGCGACGTTTAATTAAATAGTACATAAGAGTGGCGAAATTGTAACTAAAACTGTCGATAGTTTCAATTATAAATTCAGTTCAATTGGCAGATTATAATTATAACCACAATTTGGAGTAAGTGCTTACTGAGGAGTTTCTAAGAATTATAAACGGTAATAAAGTTCAGTAAACGTAGTTACGTACACAGATCAAAATCTTCTAGGTAAATTTCCATTTACAAGTGAAATTAGCTACCGAAATTGAGCCCATTTTAACCAAGAGAACTTTCCGTTACCAGAAGAATTCAATATCGACGGGCCTCCTTATGCATTTTTCTTGAACATTTGCGAAGTCAAAGGATGCTAGTGATATGATTTTTTTTATTTTGGTGTAAATTTAACCCAAAAAAAATGTTTTTTACCGACAAAACCAGAGAGCGCATTCCGGCACCAGCACACCGTTGGTTCGAGCACAAATCAATCAATATTTCGTTGCTTTCAGGTTAGTAACACGAGTCAATTCAATAGTACAACGCGGTGGCCTCCACGATGCCTCGCGAATATCCCTTCTTGACATTTTCGGCTTTGAAAACCTCGCGGAGAACTCCTTCGAGCAGCTGTGCATCAATTACGCGTCGGAATCGCTCCAGCTCCACTTCAACAAGCACGTCTTCAAGCTGGAGCAGCAGGAGTACGCGAGGGAGAAGTTGGAGTGGACAAATCTCGCGTGGAACGACAACACGCCGGTCATTCATCTCTTGGGCAAGAAACCGGTGGGGATCCTTCATTTGTTAGACGACGAAAGTAACTTTCCGAAGGCGTCCGATCACTCGTTCTTGGAGAAGTGTCACTATAATCACGCGCTGAACGAGTTTTACTGCAGGCCACGAGTTGGAGGCCGAGAGTTTGCCGTAAGCGTGCGCGGCTTACTTCGGACTGTCTTCTAAAGGTCTGTTGCAGATTCGCCACTTCGCGGGGCAAGTGTGGTATTCCGTGGAAGGTTTCCTAGACAAGAACCGGGACGTTCTAAGGCCTGAGATTGTCGAGTTGCTGGCGTCGAGCAAGGAACCTTTGGTTAGCGCCATTGCACGCCCGCTGCTGAACCAGGCGCAAATGCGTACTCTTCCGAAGGGGGCAAATGGGCGCTTTGTTACAATGAAGCCGCGCACACCAACCGTCGCTGCTCGGTGAGCTACCACTTACTCTCATGTCTGATGATAACCGTCTTGCGCAGGTTCGGGGATAGCTTGCATCAACTCCTCGAGTCGATGGCTCGATGTCAGCCGTGGTTTGTTCGCTGTATTAAACCCAACAACGATAAAAGCCCCATGAAGTTTGACATGCCGGTGGTAATCGAGCAGCTGCGCTACTCGGGGATGCTCGAAACGATTCACATCAGGCAAGCGGGTTATCCTGTTAGGATGAAGTTTCAGGAGTTTGTCGATCGTTACAGGTAAAAACCCTCCGTGGGTATGGCAAGTTATAGTTTGACCTTCAGGTACCTACTACCCATTGGTTTACAACGCGGGGGCCCTTACAGAGATTTGTGCCGAACAGTTTTAGACCAAATGCCTCCGACTGGTACAGTAGGTCCTGATTACCAACTGGGTGCGTCGAGGGTATTCCTCCGTGAAAGCCTTTTGAGACGTTTGGAGATGACACGCACTGACCAACTGCGCGGGGCGGCGCTAATGATTCAGAAGAACATTCGCGGATATTTGGCGAGGAAGAATTTCCAATCCGTGAAACGTAGCGCTATAGTTTTACAGCGTAATTGGAAGGGGTATAGGCAAAGGAAATTGTACAAGACGTTAAAGACTGGGGTGATCAAGGCGCAAGCGCTCCACCGAGGCCGAATGGAGCGGCGGCGTTACGCAGCTCGAAAGGCGGAGCTGAAGAAACGGTTAGAAGCGGAGAGGCAAGCTCAAGAGCGTGCCAAGCAGAAGATGCTTAGGGAAAATCAACGTAATACCAGAGCAGCGGCCGTTCATCACTTGGAAATCCCAGCGGAGTTGGCCTTCATTTTCTCCAAGTTGGAAGAGTACACTCCTCCGCACACCGAGCGCAATTTAATCAAAGTATCCGGCAACGTCCACGGACGTCCGTCCCCGATCAACTTACCTTCCGACCTCAACCAATTCGAGTTTAACAAATTTAGCTCGGTCTACTTCAAGGGGGCCGACTTCGGGTACCGGCGCGAGCCGATCAGCGCCCCGTTTCTGTCTAAGGCGGCTGCCCGCGACCAAGACTTTCAAGACTCGGTCGCGCTCTTCAAGCTAATTTTGCGATGGACGAATGATGGTCAGCTGACCGGCGCCAAAGAGCGAGCGCTCGCCGATTACATCGTTCACAAGGGTCTCAGTTCTCGAGGCTTGCGTGACGAGCTGCTCGTGCAACTTTGCAATCAGGCGTACAAAAACGAAAACTCCGACAGGATTTGGCAGCTCATGGCTCATTGTCTGTGCTGCTTCCAACCAAGTCCCCCGCTTAGCAAGTACCTTCTTAAATATATCACCGATTCGGCCCCACCAAGATACAAGGAGAGCTTGCAGCGGATGGTGCTGAGGGGGTTGCAAAAGGTTCCGTATTCGAGATCCTTGCCCCCTTCGCTGTTGGAATGGAGAAGCACGCGCCAGAAGACGAACATGGCATTTCCTCTACTGTTTTCGGACAGCACGTCGTCAACAATTAACGTGGACTCGTGGACAACATGCGAAGAAGCTGCCGGAATAGCTTTGAACACTTTGGGCTTGCCCATGAACGGCTGGACCGTTGTAATTGACGATGCTGGCGTTACAACCGACAGCAACGGTTTGGACTACGTGTTTGACTTAGTGTCCGAGCTTGAAATGTGTCCCTCATTCCCGATTCATAGATCGCAGCTTCTTAAGGTGGGAGTGCGCCAACACCATCCCGTCGAGATTGACCACGCGCCTAGTCCTGTTCGTCCACAGGTAATACTCCGATATCCCCCAGTGTTGTAATATTGACTTTGTTTAGGTACCACCACCGGAACCACCGGCCTCGAGCAAAATGGCCCAGGAAACCTCGCGCCATTCCTCGCCACACCACAGCAATCCGTCACCAACTGATCACGTCGGTTCCAGAAAATCATCGTCTAGTCAAGAGTATTCCTCTCAGCGGGCTTCGTTGGTGATCTCCGAGAGCCCGACGCGCAAATCATCGCGAGAAGCCTTATCTCGCACCTCCGCACTTAACGAAAGATACTTCGACATTGAAAAGGTCAGATCGCGAAGCCTAGACAATCTGCTGAGCGAGCCCGAGCCCAGCACTCCCCTCATCACCTTGGGTCTCAGCCAGTCGGTACTCAACGACCGGTACCACTCGGTGGAGCAGTTGGCCCCCATTAAACCTGTGTTAACCAATAACGCGTACATGCAAAAGGACGCAATGGACTTCGAATACCCGGACATTTCTAGCATCGCTACCTCCCAGAAGGAGGGGCCGCGTTACATCAAGTCGCAGTACGCCGGAAAGAAGGCGCCGCCCGGGTCGCACTCGAGCAGGGCGCAAATTGAAAGGTCCGAGTTTGCGGTTCGAAGCTCGGCCATGTCGGATACCAGTGAGACGCCCAGTTTGGCAAGTCACGTGAGGCGGGTACGGGTACCGAGTCAAGCTTCTGACGTTGATCAGTTCCTGGACGAGCTGTTCAGTCCGGTTTTGGATGGGAACTTGGATGAGCTCAGCGACGCTCGCTCGTTGGCCGCGAGCATCAAGGGCGGTGGCGAGGTAGAAAACCCAATTGACGCGTTCGATCAGTTTCTAAGTCAGTTGATGGAACCTGTTGGAACAGCTACAGTAGACATGTCCGATTCGCAGTTTTTAGTGAGTAAAATTAAAGGTGGGGGTGAGAGAAGCCGTACAACCAGCCAAGACAGCAGTATCGTGCTTGATAAAGAAGTGGAAAGCATAACGCGTAGTGACGACGCAAAGCAAAACGATGGAAGCGTTGACGATTACATTAGCGACCTATTTCGCCCAATCTTCATTAATGATAGCCTAAAAAATCTAGCCGAAAAACACAACTTGGTGGATAGCATCAAGGGTGGTGGTACAGCCCATCAGCAATCTAGCACTTCTGGATATAACTTCTCAGCGATCCCCGCGCCCCTTGTCAGCCCACAGCCTATGATAATGCCGGTTCTGGGAACGGGGCAGGACGGATTCATGCCGATGTATAACATTCCACCAAACGCCGATATCGCAGGATACCAACAGAACCTGCAGCGGGCGTTTCTTCAGTCCGCCATGGCTCAAAATATTCAGATTCAGCAACAGCTGCTCGCCCAAAACCAAGCCCTACAACAGTTGCTGACGCAGCAGAGTGTCCCAGATGGTAAAGCTGTCGACGGCACCGCGGCGAAAAGCTCTCGAAGTCCAGACCGTAAGAGCAGCTTCAAAACCAGCAACATCAGTCGAAAAAGCAGTTCGCCCAGCAATAACTCAATGATTGACTTGAAGCTACGGAAGCAAAGTGTAGAGTCCACCATGAGTGTTAGCCGAAGCGGTGTGCCTCCGCCTCCCCCAATGCCGCCGCCGATAGACCCGAGCGATCCGTCCGAAAGTAGACCGTTCATGGATCCCTACGGAAGAGCGAAAACTGTTCGCATTGGGAAATGGCGATGGCCACCTCCTAAAGATGGCAGCAATCCAGAAGCCGGCGAAGACTTCATGCAATTCAAACTGCGGCAGAATCAAAGAAAAATCACACCGAACAAGGAACAGATCTGCGTCGTTAATGGTTACTCCCAACAAAGTTCCATCACGGTAGTCCAACAGTCATCTTCCGAATGGGAGGAGCTCGATTTCGAGCCCATCGTCCGCGAACCCGAGAAAACCACCAAGAGAAGTAGTCGGCGCAGTTTTGAAATTGGTGTCAATCGCCCCTCCCCGGGAAGCGTAGGCAAGCTGAAGCTAAGCTCCGAGATGCGCCAGAGGTTAGAGCAGGTTACAGCAAACCACTCCGTGCGCTCCACCAGCAGCAAAGTTGACCAACCGGCTCGAGTGGTTAATAAACTTGAGGATACCAGAAAAATGATGCTGGAACAGCAGTTGACGGGTAGATGGGGCGACTCCGTTGATAGTTTGCAGAAGAGTAGTTCATCGAGCCCCGAAACGAAATCCCCGACAAACTGGCCGGGCTCGAATTGGCGATCACCTCCGCCCCCAATCCCCATAAGTCCCAGCTCAATACCGCCAGTACCATCAGTGCCCGCGCCTCCCCCGCCCGTACGCCCGCAGCAACCCCCGCCCCAACCCGAACCCTTTCGCGATTCTTTCATGGCTCAACGTCAAGAACGCGACACGTTCGGAGTCCATCAGAACCTCGTCGAGCAGAGCAATTCCAAACGAAATTCGTTCAGCGCGAACTGGGACATACAAAGTTCGCTAACCCAAGACACTCAAGACGACGGCGCGAGCAACTGGGCAAAGTTTGACCACGCAAATCGCAAAGACAGCTGGGATCAAAGCGAAATTATAAAAATGGAACAGAACGTAACGCGACGAAGCATGGTCGCGGCAATGAACGAGCACTGGGACGACGAACCTAAGCCCAAGGCGCAGGCCAAGGACCACGAACCGACGGAAAGGCCCACCTTCAGAACGCACCAAATGAATAAGGTCGCAAAAGAACGGGAGAAGAAGCATTCCGTCTCCACGATCAACACCGAAAAGACCGAAAAGCTCGAATGTAAGTTGGTTACGTTTGACTTTCACCGAGTTACAGATGTGCTTCCAGCTTCCGACTGGCCGGAGTTTATGCAACCGATACAGACGCCTCCACTGTCGAAGTCCCCAGTTCCGCTCAGCATCGGCTCGGACAGTCAGCACTCCCCCAAGTTCAAAATCGTCCCCTGCCACCGGGACCTAACGGTTACGTTGCGTACAATCGCGTTCCGTGGTCACTGCGTATACGTAAGGAGGTCTTCTTACCGGGAGAGTCACTGGGACCTCCGGCCGCTTTGCATTTGGTGTTTTGCCAAATCGTTTCCGACATTTACGGAACGACGCCCTGCTTGCGGCTGAGCCAAGAGGATCGCAGAACCGGCATGAACATGCTGTCAGGTTACGGCGTGAAACCGGAAAACTTGAACTCGCCCCATCGCGCCCACATCAAGAAGAGCATCGTCGAGCTCGCGCGAACCTGGCCGCTGTACTTTGCGAGATTCTTCCCCGTTTCCGGAGCGGCGCAGGTACTACCCCCCCACTGAGAATTTGTGGTGAAGTTCTGTTTGTAGTTGTCGGACGTGCAGCTGCTCGCCGTCTCCCATTGGGGAGTGCATTTGGTGCGGAGGGAAGGCAGTAACCTTCACGTGATTACTTCGGTCGCGCTGGGAGATCTGAGGAAGTTTTCAGCGTCCAGGCCAAATACCGTTTACTTCGAGGGACCTCAGGGGAGGTTCTCGTTGCATACGTCTCGCGCCCAGCAGATTTCGGAGATGGTCAATAAGTTCTGCGCGGAAAATCGGAAGGTAGGATTTTAACGTATTGTTCTATCTCTGTTTAGAAGGGGAGCATTTCGCTTTTTCCTAATGACCAATAAGAAATCGGTGTGCGACAAATTTCAATATTTTCGGCGCCCCAACGATATTCAGCTTCGAAAAATTCGCATTAACCTCAAATATCTGGTGACGAATTTACTTGGGAAAATACTATGGAGGGGGGGGGGGCAACTTCACGATTTTGTTTGACCACTCAACATTAAATTAATTGAACGCAATATACTTCATTTGTTTGCATTTCTCATTTCGCATTTCCCTAAAAACAGATTCTGAAAAAATAAAAATTTGGGGGATACCTACCTTTACGATTTTAGCCCTCCAACATTAAAATAATGGAGCGCTATATATCATTCGTTTTTGACTTCATTTGCCTATGTAAGCACAAATTCCTCCGTTACATAATTTATTTATTTTAGGCCCTAACCTTCAAATAGAACTGTATATTATACTTTATTCCATTTCACCTCCCTAAAAAAGAAATTAAGAAAATAAATAGGGGAGGGTACATTCCCATTTTTATCGCACGTCACTAAATGAATTTGCACTGATAGATTTTAGTTTGTCTATTTCGGAAACGGGGTGTTTGATTTTGACCATGACAATATTTATTTTATTAATTTTTGAAAATTTATTTGGAAAAATGTAGCTTTTAATCTCACTTTGGCCGGCTGGCAGGCTGGCTGGCTGGGGGCAAATGCGGGCGAGTAGAAGAACGCTTGTAGAAAGGCGAGGAGTGTACATACTGTACATGTACCTACCGGGTCGTGTAATTAACAACTTTAGGGACGATGCTACTTGATGTGGTGTCGGCGACATCTGGGCGCCATCCCGAGCGTGGTGTGCTAATCTAGAGATTTTTCAGTTTTTTTTCTTCCACAGTTTTCAAATTGGTGTCGTCGGAGAGATCTTGTAAACGCGCACGACTCCTGCGTGGCGGAATTTTGTTTTTTCCCAGTGCCGAAATTAACCACCTTTTGCAAGGCGCCCGTCTTCGAGGGGTACTTGACTTCGGGCACCCAAAAGGTATCTTCTGCTGCGAATTTTGTCACGCGGTTTAAAGTTTCTTAAATCTCGAATGGCGGTCTCTCTTTCTCGTGCCGCCAATAGAAGCCCGAGCTATGAAAAGTGCCCCAAATATTTTGTGAAGGGTTTTTAGCTAAATCTACCAAAATGCGAATTGCGGGTGATAATTAATAATAGATTCCTATAGGTACAAAATATTTCCTAATCCTATTCTTATGAACCAAACTAGTATTATTGTTACATGGATTAAAAATTAAAACTTTAAGGTCGTAAATTTCTTTAACAATGTATGAACCTTTATACATTGCTTATTGCTATCATTTACAAGTAATGCTTTAACAAATTTTGTTAATTTTGTTCGAGATTTTGTTGGCGTAATACATTTTGGTTTTTAATTTATTGAAATTCAAATAATCTTGAATTTTCTTATGAGCTAATTGTAATCTGTATTTAACTTCTTTCGCAAATGTTTTTACATTGTAAATAGGTTCAACAGGATTACCTTTAAAGAAAATCAAATAATGATACCTATTTGTTTACCAAAAATTAACTTTGACATTCTGTATGCTATATCCGCTAGTTTTTGAATTATTGAAATTTCTTGAAAGAAATATTCATATTCTTTTGTTAGATGTGGTATAGGCTTTGGAAGAAATCGTTTCATTTGAAATGTCAGTACGTCCAATTTTCACTATGGATCGTCCCGGAAATAAATTTTTCTTATAGAACGTGGCCTGTAGAATCCATAATTTCAAACAGTTCCAAGATTGGGCTATTAGTTCAAAAGTTACAGCCCTTTGAATTTTCTTTCGAAATTGGTCTATAACTTTTGATTGAGAAGTCTGATCGAAAAAGTACGAATTGTTTTGGATTCTACGCATCCGCATTGAGTTGTTTTTGATTTGTTTGTTATTTATGGTGAGAATAATAAAAGGCCAATAACTCAAAAACTACTGGTATACAGAATTTTAATAAAAGTGTTCCTAAAATTCAAACC